TAAAGTTTAAAAAAAAAAAGAAACTGTATCTGGAGAGTTGGCTCAGTAGTTAAGAACACTGACTGCTCTTCCAGAGGACCCAAGTTCAGTTCCCAGCACCTACATGGTGACTAACAACCATCTATAACTCCAGTTCCAGGGATACGATGCCCTCTTCTGACTTCCAGCATTGCATGACACAGGTGTTCTTACATACATACAGGAAAAACACTCAAACACATAAAAAAATAATAAATTTTGAAAAAAAAAAAAAGAGAAATCAGAGAGATCTCAAACAAGTAACTTAATGATGTACCCTAAAGCTCTGGAAAAAGAAAAACAAGTCAAACCTTAAATCAGTAGACAGAAAGAAATGGCAGAAATTAATGAAATAGAAAACACACACACAAAAAAACAACAAAACAAAGAATTCGTTCTTTGAAAAGATTAAAGAAGACAGAAAAAAACTCAGTCAAACTAATCAAAATAAAGAGATAAAAGACCAAAATTAACAAAATTAAAGATAAAAGAAAACCATTACGATAGATAACAATGAAATTCAGGAAATCACTAGGTCTTATCTAAAAAATACGTATTACACTGTATCGGAAAAGCTAAAAGAAATGAATGAATTTCTAAACACATATGGCCTACCAAAATTCAATACAACTATTCAAGCAGCGAGACTGCAGCAGTAATTTAAAGTCTCTCAACCTAAACACTCCAGACCCAAATGAATTTCACTGATGAATTTTACCAGACCTTCAAAGAACTAACAGCAGTGCTTCTCAAACCACTCCATAAGATAGAAAAGGAAAGAACATTTCCAAACTCTTTTGATAAAATCATGTTACCCTGATATGGAAACCAGATAAGATGAAGCAAAAAAAGAGATGAAGATAAGCACAAAACTTCTCAACAAAATACTTGCTAACTGAATTCAAGAACACATCAAGAAGATCATTTATCATGATCAAGCTGGCTTTTTTTCTAAAGATGCAGTGGTAATTCAATGCACATAGTTCAATAAATATTATAAATTACATAGGCTGTCTCAAGGAGAAATTGCAGGGTCATCTCAATAGACACAGTAAGTTTTTGACAGAAATCAACAACCCTTCCTATTAAAAGTCCTGAAGAGAGCCAGGCGTGGTGACCCAAGCCTTTAATCCCAGCACTTGGGAGGCAGAGGCAGGTGGATCTCTGTGAGTTCAGCCTCATCTACATAGCAAGTTCCAGGATAGCTGGGGCTACAGGGAGACCCTGTCTCAAAAAGACCAAAAAAATTTAATTTAATTTATTTAAAAGTCCTGAAGAAACTCAGAATAGAAGGACTGGATCTCAACATAATAAACACTATATATGACAAGCCTTGTGCTAGACACCTGGGTTGAGGGAGCCTCAATTGGGGAACTTCTTCTATTGGAATGGCCTATGGCCATGTCTGAGGGGCATCTTCTTGATGAGTGATATGGGAGGGCCCAGCCCACTGTGGGTGGTGCCACCCCTGGGCAGGTAGGCCTGTGTTGTATGAAAAAGAGGCTGAGCAGGGGCCAGGGGAGCAAGCCAGTAAGCCACATTCCTCCATGGCCTGTGCTCTAGCTCCTGCCTCCAGGTTCCTGCTCTGAGTTCCTACCTTGGGCTCCCTGATGAACTGCGACCTGGGAGTTGTAAGCTGAATAAACCCTTTCCTCCCCAAGTTGGTATTGGTCAGAGTGTTTTGTCACAGCAATGAAGAAACAAACCAACAAGTCAACAAGATATTAAAAGGGGGGAATTCAAAGCATATCCACTAAAATTAAAAGCAAGACCAGGGTGCCCACCCTCTCCACTCATTCCACACAGTCCTAGAAATCTTGACCAGAGCAATAAGACAAGAGAAGCAAATCAAAGGGAATCAAATAGAAAAGGAAGAAATGCAAGTTATCTCTATCTTCAGATACGATTTTATATATGAGACCCTAGAGACTCAACCAGAGTAGTCTTAGAATTCCTGTGCCAGATAGCTTTAGTATTAACTTGACACACCTGGGTTGAGGGAGCCTCAATTGGGGAATTTCCTTCATTGGACTGGCCTGTGGCCATGTCCATGGGGCATCTTTTTGATGGTTGAGTGATGTGGGAGGGCCCAGCCCACTGTGGGTGGTGCCACCCCTGGGCAGGTGGGTCTGTGTTGCATAAGAAAGCAGGCTGAGCAGGGGCCAGGGAGCAAGTCAGTAAACAGTGTTCCTCCATGGCCTGTGCTCCAGCTCCTACCTTCAGGTTCCTGCCCTGAGTTCCTACCTTGGGCTCCTTGATGAATTGTGACCCGGGAGATGTAAGACAAATAAACCCTGTCCTCCCCAAGTTAGTAGTGGTCAGAGTGTTTTGTCACAGCAATGGAAAAACAAACTAGGACACTCATAAATGCCTTCAGGAAAGTGGTAGGACAGAAAATTAGCATACAAAAATCAGTAGCCTTCCTATAGACTAATGACAAGCATTTTAAGAAAGAAATCAGGGAAACAATCCCATTCACAATAGCCTAAAAAATAACCTGCAGACTCAATCTCTATGCTTAGGTCACTTGTGACCTTTTGTGTTCCTGGCCCTCTGTTGCATGAATTCCAGTGGGGGCTATGGGAGGTGCCAGTGGGAAAGGGAGTATAAAGATGATTAAGATTGATTGAGATGTTCTGTATGAAACCAAAAAAAATTCAATAAGAAATCTAACCAAGGATGTGAACAGCCTCTGTAAAACTTTAAAACACTAATGAAAAAGTTGAGGAAGACACTAGAAAAATGGGAAAACCTCCCGTGCTCCTGGATTAGTAAAATTAAATATTGTGAAAATGGCCATCCTACCAAAACCTCGTAGACACAGAAAAGGCAATCTTAAAATTCATAAAGAAGCACACACAAAAAACGAGATAGCCAAAGCAATCCTAAGCAAAGAGAATACTTCTGGAGTATCACCATCCCCGATTTCTAGTTACACTGCACAGCCATAAAAAAATAGCATGGTATTGGCACACACACACACACACAAAAAAAAACCAAAGTTATGTAGATCCATGGAATAGAATAGAAGACCTGATTTTTGACATTGATGACAAAAATAAATATTGGAGTAAACATATTCAACAAATGGTGCTGAAAAAACAGAATGTCTATATACAGAAGAATGAAACTAGATTCTTATCTCTCACCCTGCACAAAACTGAACTCCAAACAGGTCAAGGGCCGCAACACAAACCTTGAAATTCTGAAACTACAAGAGGAAAAAGTCGGGAGTATACTTCAGTATGTAGGCACATAGTCCTATAGGTAAGGACTTTCTAAATAAGATTCCAGTCACTCAAGAAACAAGGCAGTAATTGACAACTTAGACCTTATGGAATTAAAAAGCTTCTGTACAGGGAAGGAAACTGAATGAAGCTGAGTGAAGAGGCAGCTTATAGAACAGGAGAAAATCTTTGCTGGGTTTACGCAGACAGAAGATTTGCTAATCAAATTCATAATATAACTATGAATCTTTTAATGTTGAGGATATAGCCAATAGTGCCTTTGTACAAACAATATAGACTATAGGGTACTTACACAAATCTAGACAGTAGTGCTTACCATACACTCATGCTGTATGGAAGAGTTGACACTACAAACCTGCACAGCATATTATTATATTGAACACTGTAGGAAACTACAACATAGTGATAAGTATTTGTGTATCTGAACCTATTCAAGCATAGAAAAGGTGCAATAAACATATGGTGGGTATAAATGATAGAACTTCGTACCCTGACATGGGGCACTTACCATGAAGGGAGTGCACAGGATCGGAAGTTACTTTAGGTGGGTGAGCAGGTGAACAGGAAGGCCTGAGATAGTACTACACATGGCTATACTTCATAAACACTGCATGTAGACAACGTAAAGTTCATTTTAAAGGCTCTTCCTTTGGTAAATTAAACTGACCTTACTGTATTTGTTTTACTTACAAACACTTTAATTTTTAAGACTTTTGACTCTTTTGTAGCAATGCTTGGCTTAAAATACAAACACTGTAGGCCATAGTAACTTTTCAGCTCACTATAATCTCATGGGATCACTGTCCTATATATGATCCATCATTGGCCAAAATATTGTTACATGGCCCATACTGTACATGTACAGCTTAGGCACAGAATGAAAAGTTGCTTTAACATTAGAAAATAAGTCATCATCTGTTTAAAACTATGTTCAAGACTGGACATTTAATAAAATTCAATACACATGACTGATTTTTTTAACTTTTAGAAAATTAAAGATTTACAAGCTTAAGCCTGACAAAGGCTATGTAGCAGAAATATCTATTATCCATCATACACTCTTACACTGAGACTAGAGCACTGAAGAAAACAAACAGTGCTAGAATCACAGAGCTTACAGTCTACTAAGAGCACAGGTAAGTAAGGAGATGATGATTATGCAGCACAGCAAGGTGGTCTGAGGAAAGAACAGAGTGCCATAGTAACCAAGGACAGCTGGCAAACCTCACTTCGATGGTGACAGTTACCTCAGCAGATGATACTTCTGGGCAAGAACTGGGTGACTTTCATGTTTGTGTAGCTCAATATCTAAGACAATGTCTAGCATGAAGAATTCTTCAATCAATATTTCTTTTCTTACATTTATTTATTGTGTATGAGTATATATGTGTGGGGACATGCATGGTACATGTGTGGAGGTCAGTGGACAACTTTTTGGACTCAGGGCTCTCCCTATACCATGTGGGTTCTGGGGATCAAACTCAGGTCATCAGACTTGTTGGCAAGCACCTTTACTACGTTCCATCTCATTGGCCCTAGTAAATGTTTCTTCAACCAGCGAACAAATGAACAAAAATGAATAAACATTTAATAGTGACTGTAGATTCTAGTAAATGTCAGGGAATATCAACAAACTACATGATTTAATTGAACTTTTATATTTTCTAGAGTCTATCTGCATTTAAACATACTACTACACACATTCCATACCCATCAGCAAGCCTAAATACTCACGGATACAAGGGGTTTGTATTGGCCAGTTGGAGAGTGTGTGTTTTCACAGGTTCCACAGCTATTAACATGTCTTGTTCCACAGCCATAGGAAGAACAGAATAGCCACAGTAATCTATATGTTCTCCTAGATAAAAGAGGAAGCACAGCTTATCATTGCTGGCATTTTAAACAAAAGAAGCTCAAGTAACTTATGTAAACAAAAGCTCTTGGAGGGGCTGGAGAGATGGCTCAGCGGTTAAGAGCACTGACTGCTCTTGCAGAGGACCCAGGCTCAATTCCCAGCACCCACATGGCGGCTACAAACCATCCTTAACTCCAGTTCCAGGGGAATCCGAAGCCCTCTTCTGACCTCTGTGGCATTGCATGACACAGGTGCACTCACATACATGCAGGCAATACACTCATATACATAAAATAAAAATAATAAATAAAATATTTTTTAAAAAAGCTCTTGGAAAGAAGCATATCTTCACTGAAACTTCTACAAGGCTGAGTGATTAGAACTTCACTAACTGCGTAGACAATGGAACGTTGCAGGTCCAGGGCCAAATTATCTTGGGCCATCTTTAGCCCCCGCAGTACTCATTTATTTCACATCTCTGTATGTGATCTAACATCTTTGTGCCTACTGGGGAATCCTTTGGAATGTATGAACAGACCCCTAACTTCCACCAATCAAAGGCTAACAATGCCATCAGATAGCATCTAAGGCTGATGGCTGAGATTCCCCCACTTTTCTGTAACCTGCCTAACCCAATGTTTCTACCAATGTATTTGAGAAGTACCTTAATTTATGATTTTCTTTGTTCTGTTAATATAAAACTTCATGAAACTGTTATCACACTGGAACATGGAATTTGGTGTAAAATGAATCTGTGTTCCTGGGCCATGGCCACTCATATTTGGCTCCAAAATAAACTTTCACATCCCCTTTGAGGTGAGAATTGTTTCTTTAATCAACAGTTAACACATGGGAAAAATATGGTCATGATCAGCTCTTAATAGAAAATGATAGTACTACAGGCAGATACTCAGTTTCCCTTTAATCCCAAACAGTTGGGCCAGGAACTCCTACAGGTCATAAGTATATTGGTTTCTGTTAATTTTGGTGACTCTTTTTCCTCTTAAGCTTTTTTTTTTTCCACTTTCTAATTTACAACGATCATTTTCTAAACTTATGCCATGTGACTAGTTTTATGAGCATCAAGCTAATTAATATCTCTTTCCTCTGTTACTTTTTATTAACTTCTTAAATATGAACTTAAATATGAACTTAAATGAATTCTACTCGCTTCCTCACTAGCTAATGAGCTCACCAAAAGCAAGGACTTATCTTTTCTGCGGCCCAAGAAAATGTCTAGCAATTCATTCTGATTTTTTTTGTTGTTATTTTATGTAAGTTATCATTTAAACTCAAAATTGTTGTTCATGAGACATAAACACAAAATCACGAATTCAAGAAAGATGGGCTAGGCTCATTCATTTTCCTGGTACAACTTTCTATCAGATCGTTCCTATGGCAAACATTAACCAGTTAGGAAACAAAAAAATTAATAGGAGACAATTCAGCCTCACAATTCTGTTTTTATTCTACATATTATTACAGCAGACAAGTCTTTTGTTTCTCTATACTCTTTATAATGGGGTAACTTAAGGGCTTTTTATGGATTAACAATGAGATGAATAATTTGTTTTCAAAGTTATCTTTCTGCCCAATTATCGTCAAAAAGACCATGATTTGAAACAAGTTGAAATCATGAAAAATGAGACCTACAGGAGGGCACATGTTCTGTTGGGCTTTACAGCATAGGCAGCAGCTGCTGAGAGTGAGCATTCTTTGTAAAAACTGTTTCAAAGGAGGGGAAAAAAAAAGCTCTGGGTGAGAGGGAGGGAGGGAGCAGAAACTGCTGAAAAGGACAGATAACAAAACTATTATATCTTTTCAATATTTTAACGGAAAGTATACTAGTGCTTTTAAGTGAAATTCAGTTTGTCTCCAGCACTGTCTAATTAGTATTAGAATCAAATGTTCTCCCTCTCACTGACTCAGGATGTAGTCAGCACCCACCCCAAAACAAGCAGACCTCTGAGGACACTGCTCCTTTGGGTCCTCCAGCATTGAGGGGCTGAAGCCCCAGCCCTACACTCCCAGGCCCTTTTCCTGTCCTCTGCTCGTCTGAGGCTCTGCCACTTTCTCTCCTCACCACCTTCCTCTGTGACTCTCTTGGACAGTTCACTTCTCTCTAAAGACCTTAGCACCTGTCTCCATCCCCCGCTTCATTCCAATCCCACAATAACAGACAGATAATGTCCTAGGCCAAAGCCCCAGCTTCCCAGTCCCTTGATCAGAAAAGTTGACCTACTCACTGATTCAGCCACCTGCTTCTATCATCTTACTTCCAATAACTGCTAGGAGAGTCCATCACCTGCAACTTTTCTATCTATGAAACGGGTTTCAAGTCTCACCCTTTTACTGAAATTTCCACCCTGTCTTTTTTCCATCTTTCTCTACTCCGTAAGCTCCCTCTTACCTTTCTTTCATTTTCTACCCAGCGTAGATGTCAGTGTTCGTTGCTTTACCTGGTCTTCTGCCAGTAATGTCCACTTGCCTGTTCCATGTCATTTTCTATAAGTGTTGCCCTAAATAAAACCCAAAACCTACAGCCAAACCATGCACTTCAGACTAGCTGTGGTGGTTTGAACGACAATGTCCCCCATAGGTTCCAAGTATTTGGACATTTTGTCCCCAGATGATGGCGCTGTTTAGGGAGGTTTTAGAAGGTGTGGCCATGCTGGAGGAAGCATATCACTGGGGGTGGGTTTAAGAGCTCAAGCCTTGCCAGATCTCTGGTCGCTCTCTTGCTTCCTATGCCTGCTTGATGATGTGAGAGCTTAGCTTCTGCTGCTCCTGTTCCAGCTACCTCCAGACACCATGCCTCCCTGCCATGATGGACTGTAATTCCCCTAGAACCATAAGCTCAAATAAACTCTTCCTTTTATAAGTTGTTTTGGTCAGTGTTTCTATCACAGCAACAGAAAAGTGACTAATACACTAGCCGAGGCAGGGAAATGACAGTTCTCTGAGTTGCCACAGTCCACAAGTCCTCTTCTTTAAATCAGGTCTCAGTGCTTTCCAGCAAAGGGGTTTTTTCCAGCCACTTCTCCTCTCCCATCCTTCACACTTAAATATTTCTTCCCTCTCCCTAAATTCCCAGCTCTCCTACTACCCTCATAAGAACATCCTCAATCTTCTACTGCAAAATTATACATCCTGTACATCGATGTGCATCCTCTTCATCCATGCGTCCTGTTAAGAGCTGAAGTAGCCCTTGCCCTATGCTCCAGACACCAGGCTTCCTATTCTCCACTGGGCATGCCCTTCTAATGATCTGCAATCTCTTTCCCCATAGACTTCATGCCATCATAACTCACCCATCCCTGCTAATGATGCTCAAGTATTTTCTGATTTTTTTTTAATCCTCTATTATTTGCTTCAAATAAACAAGGTAGTAAAAGCTGGTAATTGAAGTTGTTTGATTGGTACATGGAAGTACATTATATTATTCCAATTACTTGTTTGAAATTTGCATTTTCCCTCATAAAAAGGGTCTTTTAATCCTCTTTGAACACTGAAATTTTCTCAGCTCCCCATATTATTTTCTCATGACAAGCCTCATTCTGGAGGCCACAACTTTTAACTTTCCTCAACAGACTTCTCTAGCTCCCCCACATCTGGATGAGGATCTTCTTATTAACTTATTACATCCTGTGCTTCCCTATCAAACATGTAAGATACATATTTTTAGCTGTAAACATCTTTGTTCAAATGGAACCTCATATGGACATGAAATGAGGAAAAAAGACAAGCCAGAGGCACTTCCTGTTGAGCTTTAGCATGGCTGGCACCCAACTCAACAGGAATCCCTGAGCAAAGCAAATTCCTAGGGCTCTGCTGGCCACAACTTGAAGGGGACATACTCAAGGAGTTTAAGAGCTCCATCATACTTGCCACGGGACAGTAGGTTCTATGAGGGCAGGAACTCTGCTGCCTGCCCCCCCATAACATCATGAATGCTATACAGAAGAGACACAAGACACCAACTAACTTAAAAAGTGAGTAAAAGATCTCCTTTTGATAAAATCTTGTGGGAATTTTTTCCCTAGACTTCTCTATAGCACTTTCTTAGTACAGTCTTCCTCTTAGTTTCCAAAACATCATTTATGATAGTTAATATCAGGTGTTAACTTGATTTAGGAATAGCTAGATAGCTAGAAAGAATTCTTTCTGAGGTGTTTTCCCATTCATATGGAAAGGTATGTTTTAAATTGGCTTTCTCATCACCTCCCCTGAAGACTAGCTCTCCTAGCTTTGGCGAGCACTACACAAGCTGCTAAGGGAAAACAGTAATTGATGGTCCCACCTCAGCTTTAAGGCCTAATAACCTCAATGACTAGCACGACAAACTACATTTGGGCAGTAGTGGCACTTTTATCTTGGGGGTAATCAAGAGCTACCTAATTGGACTTAAAGCCCATTTATTGGGAGGACTCATGTGTGATACTATAAATCTAGCCAAATACACACAGCTGGAGAGGTCACAGATCTTAAAGAAAACCTCAAGGCTGTCACATCCCTAGACAAATGTAACTTCTTACTATGTGCAAAATATGGATCCTTATATTTACAGAAAATTATCCCAGTCACCACTCATCAAAGAAGCTTTTTTTGCAACAGACAGAGATTATTACAGAATTCCACAACTAGTCATACACAGACTATGTCTGTGAATTTCCCAAGCCTAAGTGGCCCATCTACAATGCAACCTCTATACCTAAGGTTCACAGAACACAGAACAAGGGGTAATGCACCTCTCACTTCTCATCAATGAAGCTCCACCATGCAACAAAGGGCCAGGAACACAAAAGGTCACAAATAGTGTAGAGACTAAGAGTCTGCAGAGTCCTTCGACAGGACTCCTATAGTAAATTCCACCCACCTAGGGCTCAGGAACCATTGTGGAAGAGGGGACAGAAAGATTGTAAGAGCCAGGGAAGTTGGTACATGACCATATGGAAATAGAGTCCTACAGGCTCCTGAGACCCTGCTCATATGAACCTACAGCA